AGTAAAAATAGCACGAAGCAGCAGTAACATCACAGTCCCACGGTAGTCCCAGCTACCCAAAAACTTCCTNATCGCTTCTTGATTTCGTACCTAGGATCTTAATTTTCTTGCAAACCTTTGTGGAGAGCTTGAGGATAAGTTTATGGGTCTTATTCTGGTCGTGGTATGTGAAAAAGTAAAGAAAGAAATGACATAAGGCCTATATATATTCATTTTTGAAAAGTCAAAGAGGTGTTAGCTTAGCACCCTATTATTGGCTCTTCTTTAGATGCTTATAACTTTTAATTCGGATGTCCAAAAAGACCTCATATAACACACGAAATATATTTCTCAAAAAGCTTTAGTGACACACATACTTGTCACCTACGCAATCTGCGCAGTCTCGCGAAACTGCAAATATCTCTCTACTCCTATGTCGTATTAATGAACAGTTTAGTGCGTTTGATCTTCAATTTGGTAGGTATATAATCCCCTAATTCCAAGTATATTAGGAGAAAAGCTCAGCTATATTTGACCTAAATTTCAGCATATTTATGAATGTAAGTTGTGATGATCTTTGCCAACTTTTGTTCCACAACTCACTCGACTTCAAAACATAACATACGACTATCATAAGACAAAAATAACTCATAACATAAACTCCTTATCATTTTGAGCACCCTAGTCTCACCCCAAAAGTACATGTTATAATATTCCCAACTTGTCGACTTTCGGCGAAACTTATTTTCTTCAATTGGTTTAACTTCTAAGCCTTCCAACCCTCTTAGTACTTACAGTCCATGATCTTAAGTATTTGTAACCTCCGGGTTAACATGATTAATTTACTTTATGTACTTTCAAAGATGATGTCATTTCAGAGCTTATATAAATTGACTTACGACATACTCTCACATACGAAACTATAGGGTGTAATCATCCTTAGTTTTGACAAAGAAGAAGTTGAGACAGAATTGGCGGTTGGACTTACCATCCATTTTTACCACCAAGCACTTACCTCCTCAGTGGCGGAGATTCAACAACGACCCATCCCCTATAAAAGTTAGGGGCAAACATGTGCGTCAAATATCAAAGTGTGAGTTCGACCCCGGCCAGCTCCGTAAATTTGATGAGGATCCTCATGAGTTCGTAAATGTACGACGCGAGTTGAGCCAGTAAGATGCCATAATAGTGACAAACTCCTCCACTAGCGGAAGGAGAGGAAGAGTGTAATCGAAGTAGAAGGGGTAGGCGTAGAAGGCGTAATACCTAGGGCGGTGAACCTGCACCGCATCCCACTCGGCAGGGATCAACTCGATGTGGTTGGGGAGGTCATACTTAGCTTAAGCTCTATCAAATCGGCCTCCGTCATCGATGATTTAAAGGTTCCGAGGTCAGCTTCAGGCAATTTTGAGAAACCAGATCTGGTATCGGGGTTATGAGGAACTATCTCCTCTACCAATGGAAAGCTTCAATCCTCTGCGGCCGCAAAAACATTCTCCGCATGAGAGGGGAAACACCATCGCTAGTAGGAACACAGCGCTCCCCTCGCTATACTCGGAAGGTACGTTAGACATGTTTAACGACATAAAGAGAGGCACCAAAAAATGAGGGTTAAAAATGACGAGAATCGCTAGAACAAAAGGAAACGTTGCACAACAATGGGAGAGAAAGAAGGGGATATGGGGGTTTCGATATGGAAAATCTGTAAACTTTGAATTACACCCTCACCTCCCTATTAATAAGGACTCATGCATCAGAACCGAAAAATCAGCTCATTATTACCTGTCACCGGATTCGAAGCCGCAGGTCCAATTAGGAGTCACATATAAAACGAAGCAACCCATTGGAAATACATGTCATGATGACGTATGACGTCATGACGTCATGATGACGTATGACTTCATGACGTCATCTTGATTCATGGATGGCACAACTCCAACGAACCAACCGTGAGATGAAGTGTTCAAAATTTGCGGCTCACGAAGGGCCATGTTGCCATCTCGCTTCACTTATCACGACCCGCTCAACTCGCCCAATCGTTTCGACAACAATAAACTAAATTTTCTCATCAAGCCCGCCTGAGGCTGGCCCCAATAAGTGGAGGGACTAACTGTATGAGTCAAAATCCACTAAGAGAATATTCAGGTTAAGATGATATTAAGGGAGGAGTCCTCAAATCGTCATTTATTAGAATAGCCCAAGAAGTCGCACAACCTTTGGTCGAGGAGTCAATGAGAGCCGTAGTCAAGGCATCAATGAGGATCAAGGTCGAGTACCAACGAGAGAGCTGTAATGGCTAGTTTTCAAGATAGGATCTTAAAAAATATATTCTAGTAGATATTCTCTTTATTTGTACTAATAGAATTTCTTTTGGGAATGTGTCCCATATAAATAAAAAACGAAACAATGGTAGTAAAAACAACAACAACAACAACAACAACAATCCAGTAAAAGTTCACTAAGTGGGGTCTGGGGAGGGTAGTGTGTACGCAAACCTTACCCCTACCCCGATAGGGCAGAGAGGCTATTTCCGATAGACCATTGGCACAGGAAGATGAAAATAAAATAAGAAAAGACAATTCATCAGTATTGTCAACATAACCATAGAAATAAAGACAGCATCCTAAAAACCATAAAATAGATGACATGCTATAACAATAACTCGCAACTAAGATCCAGAGCTATGGAAAACAGTAAGGTTAGTGTGAACTCTACATTAACCACAAGGCGTCTAGGACCAACTTACTCAAACTTGCTTCACCCCCGAAATGGAGAAGGAGAAGCTCGACTACCACTCTATTCTACAACCCTAATGCTCGACCTCCAGACCTTCTTATCAAGGGTCATGTCCTCGGAAATCTACAATCGTGCCATGTCCTGCCTGATCACCTCTCCCCAATACTTCTTAGGCTGGCCTCTACCTCTTTTCGTACCCACTAAAGCCAACAACTCACACCTCCTCACCGGAGCATCCAGTCTTTTCCTCCGCACATGCCCGAACCATCTGAGCCTCGCTTCCTGCATCTTATTATCCACAGAGGCCACACCCACCATCTCCCGAATATCTTCATTCCTAATCTTTATCTATCCTTGTGTGCCCACACATCCACCTCAACATCCTCATCTCAGCTACCTTCATCTTCTGTATATTAGAGTTCTTAACTGGCTAACACTCTGCCCCATACAACATGACCGGTCTAACCACCGCCCTATAAAACTTACCTTTGAGTACCGGTGACACTTTCTTGTCACATAAGACTCCAGATGCTAGACTCCATTTCGTCCACCCCACTCCTATGCGGTGAGTGACGTCCTCGTTGATCTCTCCACCCCCTTGAATAATCGACCCAAGATACTTGAAACTACCTCTCTTGGGGATGACCTGTGATCCAAGCCTACTTCCCTCAATTCGGCGCTGAACTTGCACTCCAGGTACTCTGTCTTAGTCCTGCTCAATTTGAAACCTTTAGACCCGATAGCCTGTCTCCAAACCTCCAACCTCTCGTTAACACCGTCCCGTGTCTCATGAATCAGGACTATGTCATCAGCGAATAACATACACCATGGAACTTCCACTTGAATATGGTATGTTAGTGCATCAATTACTAAGGCAAATAAGAACGGGCTAAGCGCAGATCCTTGGTGTAACCCCATAACAACGGGGAAATGCTCCGAGTCGCCTCTCACAGTCCTTACCCTAGTCTTAGCTCCATCATACATGTCCTTGAACGCTCTAACATAAGCTATCGGGCACACCTTTTACCTCCAGACATCTCTATAGCACCTCCCTAGGGACCTTGTCATACGCTTTCTCCAATTCAATAAACACCATGTGCAGATTTTTGTAAGAAAGGCATTTTGACAAAATGATTCGATCTTCACTCAATACAAAGATCTACTTTTCACTGAAATTCTTATCGACACTTTACCATCAGATTCAAAAAATCCTCGATTGTTCAAGATTTTGTTTGTCAATCATTGTTAGGTGGAAGGTTCATTTATTCCACCCTTTATTGATTGAATCATTTCCCTTATCTACTTAAATGCCATTTATTATTATTCATTGTATATTATGCTACATTGATCTTGATATTGCAAAGCATCTAACACGCGGTGCCAGTGCCATCCGCATAAATGCTTAACAATTGCTTTTTCTAACATTAAGGGGTCGTTTGGTAAGATGCATTAGATAAGCTAATGTATGCATTGGCTTTTGTGTATTAATAATACATTGTTTGGTAGACATTTTGAACCTATGCATTAGCTATGCAAGCATTAGTTATACATCCTATTTGGTATTATCCTATGCATAACTAATGCATAAAAATAATGGTATTAGCAATGCAATGCGTTTTAATGCATGCATTAGCTTAATTAAAGACAAAATTATCCTTCAAAATTTATGCTTGATTAAAATATGGTAGTTAGTATATTAATACAAGTTCAAAATAATCCAAATAGTGAGAAATAAAATTATATCCCTAGTAAATAAATAAATACTTAACATATCTTTTTTTATAAATAAATATTTAATTTTATTTTACAATATAGGTAGATAAGTAAAATATTTTTTAAAAAAAAGTTAGAGTGGATTAGTTTTGAGGACATTTTTGTAAACAAACAATTCTTTTAAAAATTGTACAATGCTTGAATACATCAAATCAAACAATGGATAAGAAATATGTCAGCATAACTAATACCAACATTACTAATATACCCTATTCAACATTTATTTTTATGCACCTTACCAAACGTCCCAATTATTATTAACTGGGATTAACCTTTGGTCCATATAAATTAAATTATTTGAACTAAAATTTATATTTTTGATCAAACAGCCATAGCAACCACGTCTAAGAGAAGCAATAGATTAGACGATACGAACCAAATCGAGACTTCAACGACAATTCAAGGCAAATACTTCGCGAAGAGATCAAAAGTTCAGATGAGTTGCTCAAATCTTGAATAATCTAATTAGAAGCTACAACATAATAAAAAAACTTTTAAGCTTTGGCAGCATTAGCATCATCTTTTCCCAACTCAACGGGAGGGATGTGACGATCAAAAGGAAGCTTGATGCGGCCAATGGAACGTTGAGGGACAAGCTTCACATTCTCACAATTGCATATCTCAATCATGTGTCCATCTGGGTCCTTAAAGAAGAGTTGATCAATAGCTGCTCCTTCTTCCTCTCCTACCGTTCTCTTTAAATACTTTATGTTCAACTGCTTCAGCCTTTCCACCATACCCTCCATGTCTTCGCTCTGCGCATAAAACCACAACTTAGTACTCCTCCCTCTTGTCTACACTAAGTGACCATTTTACCTTTTTATTTTGGTCCAAAATAACTGTCCATTTACGTAATCAAGAAGGAATTAATTTTATATTTCCAAAATTTGCCCTTATTTACATATTCCAATGTGTCAGGTAAAATTTGTTCTTATTTAACGGGCATGACAAAGGTAAAATAAACACGTACTGTGGACAGCTGGGAATACTAATGAACGAATATTACATTCTTGTGCATTTTTTTCCTTCATTCCAATTTATGTGCCCAAATTGTATTGCAGACCAATATATATCGACAATGTTTGGTACAAAATGTGGGCTTCCTATCACTAGAATAAGATAAAGTCGGGGCATAAACTCCTCGGAGGATGGAATAGAAATGATAAGCACTTTTAAAGATTTTATAAATAAAAAGTACATGTTATGCATGTGATCGAAAAATGGCTTGATACAGTTTGATTTCGAAATGAAAGTGAATTCAAACGTAAAATCTCCCATCTCACTCAAAAAAGAAAGAAACATTTCGATTTTGAATTTTGACGGTAAATACAAATATAGAATCTTTTAAGTTTTATAAAGTAAAATTTAAATATTTAAAAGACTAATATAAGTCACAGTAATTAAATTAGTAACTTTAAATATTTAACAGCCATATAAAAAAATCAAAAAGTAAAGAAGAATCTTCAAATCGAAAATGTATTTTGGGAATGAGGAATAAAACACACCCTAATTTAAGATATTGCCACAAAGTGAGACTATAAACAAAGTAGTAATGACTACCAAAAATAACCGCGAAGGGAATGAATAAAATCTTGAAACGGTAAGCGGGTGAAACCTGAAAAGAAATATGGTTGTCCATAGGGTCGAGGGTATCAGTATTATTAGGCAATCTATCTTCTTCCTTAGCTTGAACCAGATGAATCCCAACGCCATAGTTAAACAACCAAGCTCCATTAAAATCAAAAGCTTGCGGCCTCTCAATCAATACAAACCCAAGAACTTTAGTGTAGAAATCTTCTGATTCTTTCACATTCTTGCAAAGTCTCGAGACGTGGTTCAACGCCATTAGTGGAATCTCATTCTGCTGTTCATCAGTAGTACTCTTCTCGTGCTTTTGTTCTCTTTCTTCTTGATTTGTTACTTCTCCCTTGACATAGCCATGTTTCCTTTCTTCTTGGCTCTGCATTTTGGTGGGGTGAACAAAGTATTGAGAAATGAAGGAAATACTGAAAGTAACGATAAGTAAAAGATGTAGGCTGAAATTAAGCTCTTAATTGGAGCTCTAGCAATGGCGGTAGGAGAATTTTTGGGTGGTGACACGTTACTGTTTTTCTGCATGAGAGCGGTGTACGTGTGAGAAAATGAAGCAGCAGAGGCCAGGGGTGATGTGTGTTTGCTAGGCCTAGGTTACTTAAAACGGTTGATTTTAATAACGTCGTTATTGGTGTTGTCTAGAGATTGCAACATGGGCAAAAAGTTTATTCGACTCCATCGACTACAAGAAATAAGGGCTATGGCCACATTTATGGTGTCATTTATAATAAATGTCAGAAATTAATTATTTTTGTGACATTTATTAAAAACGGTTGCTAACATAATGACATTTGATAACAAATGTGAAAAAATAATGACATTTTGATTTAAATATTGCAATATTAATAAGCAATTACCGACAATTACAATTAAAGAAGGAAACTTTAACCTAATGTCTAACTTTTAAATACGTGAAACGAAACAAATTAGACCCACAACGGCGGCTCCCGTGATATAATTCTTCTAGGTCTCCTTCACTCTGCTCCCATCGTTGAGTTCTTGCTAGCCTTTGGAATCCTCTGCTAATGGTGCCTTATCCGTCGATTGTTTCTTTTCTGCCTTTGATACTGTCGTAGACAAGAAGGATTGAGAAAGCAAAGTTGCGACTTGGGACGAGAAGGCTACAGACGATATATTATTTAAAATTAAGATAAGATTTCCTTCTGAAGTTTGATGTCTCCACTGATTCGAATATGAAGTCTTTCGATCTCTCTTTCTCTGCTACATTTAGGTATCATCGTGATTAATTATTCACACATCTTTGTTCATTGATAATCATACAATTAAGTTTAGTTATTTTAAGCTTTTTATAGTGTGTAGCTTTGATGATATTATTTGCCTGCAAAATTGGTGCTTTCTTGAAATATTTGCGTTTATGCAGCGCTTTCATTTGTTCTTTAGTTTGGAGTGCTTGAGGGGAAGGTAAAGATATTTTTTGGGGGGTTTTCTAAGCAAATTTTATTTTGTTTTTGATAAAGCATTCAGTTAATTTTGTTTGATTTTCCATCTTGCTTTAGAGTAAGAAATTTATTGTCTAACTCTAATTAGAGTAATGAATGTTGTCAGGTTTTTCATCTAAAGATACTCAAATGGTTGATTGTTGGCTCATATGTCTATTCCAACGTATAGATTAATCATTAGCGTCACTATCTTGGTGGGAGGAATGTGGAAATGAGGTAATTCTTATTTCAATTCTGACACTGGTTTCAAATAGGATACAAATATTCAGTGATCTTAGTTGGGATTTGGCAAGCTGATGAAACAAAGAGTTTTGCTTGATAGTGGAGTTTGGATGAAACTAGCTATGCATGTGTCTTTAGTTTTACCTCTATTTGATCTTGTTCTAAAAAAGCAATATTTTTTAGTTTTCTTTTGTATTTTTTGTTTACTTATATATGATATATCAAGTATGTCTCACTCAAATGAGTTATGTTTCTCGCAGGGTTACATTTAGATGTGTGCTGGTTATGGAGCTCAATTTAGAGGTATGCAAGTTTTGGAGCTCCATGTTTATTTCTTGTACAGTAAACTTCTGCTGACTGATTAAAGTGCTCCTTAACAGTGGTTGCTGAGGTTAGGATTGTTGATTCCAATATCACCAAATTCAATACTCCACCAACTTTTACCAACTTGTTAAACGTTTGAATTGTTGTGTATCTCTGTGTCAAATTCATGATAATATTGTTATTCTCCTTGATTTCTTTTAAGCCAAATAGTATGTAATTGATTGTTGCAGTCTTTGTAAGTTAGTTTTATTTGTTATAATTTTTGGATTAGGAGATACTTTACTTAGAAAGATAATTATTGGACTATGATAATATACAACTACTTAAACGAATAGCTGTTATCTTCGATTAAATCCTACTGCATAGTTTATAGAGTTGCCTAATATCCTTTCTGTTCTCTTCCAGGGAATTTATTACTTAAAGTTGAAATTCTGCAATAATTAGTGGTATTAGCCATCATTTGATCATCACCTTGGACAATCTTTTTCTAGAAAGTCAGTAGATTATCAAATGAGTAGGCACTCAAACGACATGGGGAGGAAGCTTCTAAAAGAAAGTAGCAGAAGGAGGGGAAACAGAGCCGAAGAAGTGAAAATATCTCTTGTCCCAATATTAGTTTGAATCCAGCAATGTTTAATTGTAAAGATGTATAGCTATTCACAATTTTATTCTTGTATATGGATCATATGTTTGCAAATATTTTATTTTTGTTTAAATTGTCTATAGTGAATGACATTTGTAAGTACAATTTGAACTTTGATGGTTATATTTTCCTGTTAATAAAATAAAATTTTAGTTTCTACATTAAAATGCCAATGAGTATTTTAATTTTGACATTAAAGGATATGCTACAGAAATGTCATAAGTCACTCAAATTTCCCGACACTTCTAAATGTCATAAACTAAGCTACGAACTATTTATTTACTGACAATATATTAAATGTCAGAAATTTAAAGTGACATTTCAAAAAGAGTCATGAAATAAATGTCGTAAATTATTTACCGACATTAATATAAATGTCGGAAATTTTCCGACATTGAAATTTACGACATTTGACCTAAGTGTAAAATAAATGTCGGTAAGTAAATTTACGACATTTATGGCACTTAATGCGACATTTATTAAATGTCATAGTAGCCCTTATTTCTTGTAGTGAGCCGCCCTATCAATCTTCTCTGAATCCATCTCAATCATGGATTCTTTCCATGATTTTCTTGCCTTTTATATGTTATCAAAGTATTACCTTCAAGACTATGGTATCACTTAGTACTTGCCTAAACATGGCAAGTACCATCTCCCAAATTCGGGCCGTTCAACTTCAATCGCTAGAATCTGGATAATATCTCATCCATATACATGGAAAAATCGATAATTTCTCATACCAGTAGACCGATTCTCAAATGTTGAACCCTAATTAGGGTTTGATTTTTGATTTCTTTCCTTTACTGGTTATTTTATGATTGCATGTATGCTTTTACCTTTCTTCATTCATATTTGGTTGATTTCTTTCTTTATTTACTCGCCTGATTTAACGACTATATAAACCCCTCCCTATTCCCCCTTGAGACAGACCTTTAATGGCTAGATTTCACTAAAAATTGAAGTTATTGTTTTATTTTTCTCTCATTCTCTTGTTCTATACTTTGATTCTTGGTCGACTGAATGCCAAGACCACCCGGATTCAATTTTTCAACCTTTTCTTGGTGCGAGCACTGCCCAGGGTTCATTTGAAGTCCTTGGGAACTTTGATGCACTAAGATTCTGGGTTCTTGCTCTTTGTTGATATTTAGAATACTATAGAATTTTGTTCTTTCTTGTTGTCCGTTTAACTGGTAAGTCACTTGGCTTTTGCAATTTCATTCTTATGTGTCTATGATTTGCATATTTTTACTTCTGAAATTCATGGCTTAATGTGTTTCTGGGCTAATTTTGTGTGCAACTTTGTTAGCTTTGCACTTGCTTTGAGCCTCTTTAGCATTTAATTTCACCTAAAGCTACCAGTTCTGAGATATGTTATTTGAATATGCTTCACCTGAATGATTTAGACCCTCTTAAGTTCATATTAGCCTGATGTGTTGATACTTGAATGTCTACATTTGCTATTTGACATGAGCTTGCTTTCCCACTTTGTTCTAAATCTCTGTAATAGCTGACTTGCATCTGTAACGTGTTCTAATCTATGTTAAGACCTTCACTATTGGCTATGACTCGTTCTCCTGTTAATATGTTCCTCAACATGTCTTTGGTTTGCGTGATTCTGTAGCCTTAGTGATTATTTGGGACCTTTGGAATGGCTATCTTAATTTATGTTTCCCTACCATGTTTAATACTATTTTGCTTCATAATGCAAGTTAACATATCTGTCTTTTGATATTGTGATGGACACTTAGCATAATTTGGACCCTTGAGCTTTAAACCTTCTAAGTTAGTGCTATTCAAATTCTGTCCTTTAATCATTATTCTCTCACCCCCTTTTGTTACCTACATTATTCTGAATCCATCACTCTTGGCCGGCTGAAAGTCAAGGCCACTAAGTCTCTCTCTATTGACCTCCCTAGTGTGAGCACTGCTCGGGGTCCATTTGAGACCCTTGTGAACTCTGACACACCAGGACTTGAGGTTCTTTAGCCACTCTCTCTACTACTGAGACTTGAGTATCTTTAACACTCAGTTCTTTCCTCATTCTATCTACTGAATATACAAACTGGTTTGTTTAAGTGATTCAATATCTGTATCATATGGTCAATATATGGCTGTTTGGTTTGGCTTGAGTTCCTTTATGGTTTCTGGGCCATACTAATGAATATAGTCCTCCGTCAGAATCTGGGTACGCTATGTGTGAAGAAAGAAGGCCCAAGCAATGCTGGGTGTTTCCTTTTGGGCCTGCTATGGGCCTACTGTTATTGCCTATATAATATTTTCTAATTATATTCATTACTGGGTCTATAATAATTTTGTAATAAATAATTAGGGTGTTAGTGAAATTGGAAAAACGGGTATACTCTAATATTTGCATGAAAGGGTAGAAAAGTATGCCTATAGGATTCGTATGATCTACTTGCTATTTTATCCAACCTGCCATATATGCTATTAAATCTTCATGTACACTGGTAGAAATCATACCATTAGGAAAATTACACACTCACACAACTTGTGCTTTATTTATTCCTATGACTACTGCTATGTGTTACTAGACAGCATGCCTATAGGAAATAAATGTCAATAAACATTCCTTTGATTTGTATAACTTCAACATGTTCATTAGATTCCACGCCTATAGGATTATACTAGCTTATGTTCTACTGATTTTCACCTAGAAATCATGTCCATAGGACCTTAATCAATCAATAAGCTATTGTTATTGTTATCATATTGCTCCGCCTAGATAACATGCTTATAGGGGTAAAATGTTATAAATATCAAGTTCGATTGTCGATTGCTAGAGATCCTTTTTATAGGACACTATCACTCGCTTAATTTCGTTTATGAGATCAACTTGCCAAGTCTGGGCTCTCAGAACTATTTTCATTCTTTAGCTACGCCACTATTAGAAATCATGCCTATAGGACAATGCCACTTTTCTAAACTGGTATCTATAAAACTAGCCTTAACAGTTTTAAAGTTCGTAAATGGTCTACTGCCCCATCACTAAGAGTAATAATATTATATTTGCAATATTGGAATTCAAAGTCAGATAGAAACCATGACTATAGGGTTTTTAGTCCTTATCCTGAAACTGTCTAATGCCTAATGTGAAAATCTGTTTGCGTGCGTTTATTGTCCAAGTGTGGAGGCTAACCTGAGCCCTTGACTGCCTTACATGAAGTCCAACTTGTTTTGTATGTCGCCTAATTTTATTATTTTGAGCAGCCTAGGTAAAGTCTAGAACCACCAAATGGAGATCCAATGCCTCCTGGACCATAGGCATGGCACAGGTAGTGCACACATAGGATACGACTTAGAATTGAATTAAAGAACATTTAGGTAAACAACTTTAACATAGTAATCGGGTAGTAGGAGATGATAGTCCTTTCATGCTGAATAATATGAGTAACTCCCTACCCCAAGGAAGTTGTGAAGTATTATTTATGTTGCACGGGGTGATCCTTTAGGCTAAAAAACTTAGGACCTCCCATTCTCTTCTTTATACATTTAGTCATCTAATATAGACCGTTGTAGTTATATCTTTGTAATCCTCATTTCTCATTGTGTTATAATAAATTCCTTTAACCCGTACTCTCTTTGTTTATCTTGCCTAATTATAGTTGTGGACCTCGAAGAGTACCTACACCTACTCTTTGAGGTAATTTGAGCCCTTACCCGATCTTTGGTGGCGTTGACCAGTCAAACAGAGTTATCTGCATAATAGGTTCCCTAACGTACCTCAAAACCCGTTAGGTAGCGACTCTTCTTCTTTTAGCACTCTCTCTCCCATCCAAAAGAGTTGTAACATGTAAAATACTACTTTTGTGAGAAAACGGGGCCGCGACAGTCTGGAAGATGGGCTGAAATATTTTTATCATAGCCTTTTGAGACAAAGATAGAGCAGTTTTAAACCGAAAGGCATGACGTTTCACTGAAAATGGTGATCGAAAATGCAAAAACCATTTTCCCTATCATCCGGATGGATTCCCAATCCCCAAAAGCCTGATTTGAGATCAAACTTAGAAAAATATTTTAGTTTGGCAAGTTGAGAGAAAAATGTGAGCTTATTTGGAATGGGAAACTTGTCATACAAAAGAAAATGATTGAGCGGTTGGAAATTAATTAACAATCCCAATTTACTTCTTGTTTGATGGACTTTTTTGTTGACATAAAAATTTTTGCACACCCATTGTGAATTTGTGGCTCAATGAGATCAAAATCCACCAGCTCCTGATATTCCTTCTTTGCAAGATGAAGGCGATCGGGATTCATACAAGACTGACTTGCCTTTGTAGGATTGATATCTCATTTTTTTTGAAAGGCAGCTTGATGAAGAAATCTTTTTTTTCATAAAGGATTGTCACATTTGGTTAAGAATTCAGTGTGAGATTCTGCACAAGAGTGTAGTGTGATTTGTGCTTCAATTTCCTTACTTGATCTTGTTCTGCGGGCTGGAATAATCTTGGGATTGCACAATATGGCTTGAAGTTCTTTTTGAATGTTATCCTATTGCCATTGATCTGGAGTGTGTCCTGCAAAATCCGGTAAATTTCAAAACCAATGATCAAATCCTTACCTGGGGTATTTGACCCAATTAATTTGGTCATGTACTTCAGTCCTGGGAAGAATTCGATGGTGATCGGGTAATTAGTAATGACAGTTGTGATCAGTATTCCATTTAAGGATGTGTTGACATTCTTGAAGTACGACATCCAATACTCATCTGGAAAGACCGCAGAATGAATAAGTGTGTAGGTTGCTCATGTGTCAAAGAAAGCTATGACATGTGTTGGTTTGTCCCACTTGGATGCATAAACTTTGATTTCTGCTTGCAGGATCATCGTGATGTTGTGGATATCTTCTTTCACCTTTGGCTTTTGTTCTGAAATTTGGTAATGATCATTATCATACTCCTCATAAACATCCAGGGAAAAAAGAGTCTTCTATGATCTCACGTTTAAGTAAGAAACGGATTAAAGGTCATCATCATTACTGTAATGAATGCCTGTGTAATCTGAAGTTTTAGAGAGAAGTCTAATAGACTGCTTGGACTGCGGGCAGTTCCTCGAAAAATGTCCTATTTTATTACAAATAAAACATGC